TCGCCTGCACGCCGCAGCGGCACTTGGGGGCCTCGCCAGCCGCCACGGCCGGTGGCGGCGCCGGCCGCGCCTCCTCGTCCGGCTCGTCCTTTCCCCGGATCGACAGCTGCGTCGCCGGGAAGTCGCTGTCCACAAACTGCGTGCCTCCCTGCAGGTGGCGGTCCACCGCGGCACGCCACGCGGCCGCCTCGGCCGCGGGCAGCGCCGAGTCGTCGCCGTGCAGGAAGAGCTCGCGGTCCGAGGAGGCGGGGCGCGGCCGCTTGGAGGGCGGCGCGAGCAGCGGCGGCCGCGAGGAGGTGGAGGCGGAGGAGGCGGATGCGGCGGCGGCGGAGGAGGAGGAGGCGGCGGCGGAGGAGGGGGAGGCGGAGGTGGCGGAGGAGGAGGCGGAGGTGGAGGCGGAGGTGGAGGCGGAGGTGGAGGTGGAGGTGGAGGCGGAGGTGGCGTTGGCGGCAGACCCGGTCTCAGGGCGCGGCGGCAGCGGCTGGCAAAGCGGCCGGCAAAGCGGCTGGCAAGGCGGCGGCGGCGATGATGCATCGAGATCAATTACAGGGGCGTCGGCAGAGCTGCGCACAGGATGGCTGCCAGCACCGCCATCTTCTCCACGGACGCCGCCACTGTCGACGAGAGGCACGGTTCCGGAGAGGAGGTCGGCGAGCGAGACCTTGGGCAGGTCGGCCATTCGGCGGGAGAGCCTTGGGAGTGGGACTGGGCTATAGCGGCGCGGGGGGACCCCACCGGCGGGGACTTTCTGCTGTGGGAACAGCTGACGCAGTCTCGCCTTCCCCGGTCCTCACTGGCTTGCCGGGGTCATGGCCCCCCCCCCTCTAGCGCCGCCGGAGGCGGCGTAGCTTCCGAGAAGCTCGGTCAGACACACGGGGGAGAGACGGACACCACATCATTACGAATGACGCAAAAATACGTCACGGAGAGCGAGTAGAATGGCTAATTTCGCCGAGAGCGCGCCGCGGGCGCACCTGGTATACGGCCCCGGAATGAGTCACTGATTAAAGTTGGGCGCCTTTGGTCGAGGCTTCCCCGGTCCTCACTGGCTTGCCGGGGTCATGGCCCCCCCCCCTCTAGCGCCGCCGGAGGCGGCGTAGCTTCCGAGAAGCTCGGTCAGACACACGGGGGAGAGACGGACACCACATCATTACGAATGACGCAAAAATACGTCACGGAGAGCGAGTAGAATGGCTAATTTCGCCGAGAGCGCGCCGCGGGCGCACCTGGTATACGGCCCCGGAATGAGTCACTGATTAAAGTTGGGCGCCTTTGGTCGAGGCTTCCCCGGTCCTCACTGGCTTGCCGGGGTCATGGCCCCCCCCCCTCTAGCGCCGCCGGAGGCGGCGTAGCTTCCGAGAAGCTCGGTCAGACACACGGGGGAGAGACGGACACCACATCATTACGAATGACGCAAAAATACGTCACGGAGAGCGAGTAGAATGGCTAATTTCGCCGAGAGCGCGCCGCGGGCGCACCTGGTATACGGCCCCGGAATGAGTCACTGATTAAAGTTGGGCGCCTTTGGTCGAGGCTTCCCCGGTCCTCACTGGCTTGCCGGGGTCATGGCCCCCCCCCCTCTAGCGCCGCCGGAGGCGGCGTAGCTTCCGAGAAGCTCGGTCAGACACACGGGGGAGAGACGGACACCACATCATTACGAATGACGCAAAAATACGTCA